CCTCAGGACGATCCCCACCAATGGTTGTAGAGCGTGTCTAACTTGACGCAGTCACCCAGTCAGTGGCATCCCTGCATTCGGCTTTTTCCATCTGGCTGTTAATTTTCATTTCATTCTGGTTAGTCTAACGCATTTGGTTCTTGCTTTCATTTTCATTACATTCTATTTGCACCCAACCCCATTACCTTACCGGTGTTATTTATTGTTATTCTTACGACGTGAGTCGTAGCAACTGGATCCGCCGCACTTCGGTGCTCGGATCATAGCTGATCAGCTGGACTGAACTAAGTCTTCCGTCTTTCAGCATAACCGAAGGTAAATCTTCAGGCACGGAAGTCTTGTTTCGCATCGATACGGCTGGTTAACGCCTAATCGCTTCCAAAGTCGCGGTGTGGCATTGATTCCATACATGGCTTCGGGCAATTCAGCAAGCTTTGAAGTTGTTAAAAGTCTGTTGAATTGTTTCTCAAAATGTTACGCCAGACTGGGTAGTCATCGTTTTGTGGTTGGGTCAACTTCTCATCTTTCTCAGCCTCTGCCTTTCTAACTCAGGATTTTCTTAGATCCGTTCTCCAAGTGAATGGAAAAAGTAGTTCGCTGTTCCAAATGAAATAAGTTTTTCCATCTTACGGGTCCCCGCAACTTGCTAACGTAGTCATCGTCGTTTAAACATATTATAGGCACATTGAAATCGAGCATTCGGCAGAGCCTGCTTGCGTGCTTTATTCAAACTCTTCCTTTCCATCTCACTCAAACTGCAGGTTAACGTAGTTCGATGGTTTGCGTACGTGAATGATCCATTGAGGTGCTCAAGGTGTTGCTTTCCGCACCCTCAGAGCCACTCCTATTGGATTCATTAAATGTCAGAGGCCAGACAAACTATCTCGTCGTTTTCCTTGTTGGTGGTTTATGTAAGAGTGACTCCTTCTTTCTTAAAACCTCCACTATGGATGTGGCAACGTTGCTGGCGTTTTTAATTGTTATGGTCACAAAGGTCGCCCCAGCCGCCCCTATTGTCTGTTCACTGAAACCTGCCCAACCCCAATTGGCCGATCAAAAAGGCAAGATTGTAGACAGTGTAATGACCGCCCGACACGGCATATTCACCGAGCACAGAGTACCGATAGATATTTGTTCATAGCGACCTTCTTGAACATTCTGTCTACTCTTTCTTCTTTACTTGCGAGAGCATTCTATTGATTAACCAGTGGGATTATCTTGCTTTTTTTTTAAATGGTTGGACTTCGGGCTCACTCATCCGTTCTTTAGGAGGAGCCTATCCTAACACTTCCCCGTTTGATGTCCGCTGTTATATGATTTCAACCTGGGGTTGACATGGAGTGTCGCGACAGGAACTCGGCAACGTTCGGTCCGACAGTCAGGTGCAGGACAGATTGGTTGGGTGATAGGCTTATTTTGTTGAGTAGCTTCTATTTTTGGTTGCTTGAACTCATCCAGAAGTAATTCAAGTGACGTACTTGGGCCATCTTCTTTTCTGTCAACTGAGGTGTAGCTCCTCAGTTGATTGCTTTCGTGGACCCATCTCTCATCGCCTACGGCCACTTCATAACAGGTATGGTCATATCTTTTTGCAACCATTTCAGGTGTCCAAGAGATTTTTTGTTCTGATAATCTTTTGCCAACACTTTCTGTCTAACGTCGAAGTGTCGTGGTATAACGCGATACCTTCGGTTGTACTGACGCTCCATTATCCAGTTTCTTTCGGAATCAGGTCTATTCAGCGGCCTTATTAGATCGAGGCCTTCTGAGCAGAAGCTATTCTGCTGGGGACTTCCCTTCAGTCGTCTGTGGATTAGGCGTAATCCTTTATGTTAACAGAAAAGTTTGTAGGATCTCTTAAATTGGTCCATCTCCTTCATCTTTGAGCAGAGCCCTGTTGAAAGTATCCACAAATCGTTCAGCTTACCCATTTGATTGTGGATGATAAGGAGTTGAGCGCAAGTGCTACATGCCATGTACCGCACAAAATTCAGCAGTGTGTGAAGGTAAACTGGAGTCCAATTGTCTTATATTGCTGTTTCCGGAAAACCGAACCGACTGAATACTTCCCTGAGAACTGTAATTGCGGCCGATGTTAATGTGTTCGACATTTGAAGGATCTCAGGCCATTTGCTGTATGCATTGATGATAAGTAAGAAGTACTGTCCTTTGATTGGCCCTGCGAAATCCAGGTGAATTCTTGACTATGGTTTCGTGGGCGTCATCCAAAAGATCAGTTCGCATTTCCGTGGCGATTTTGCTGCTAGGGCACACTTTGAACAGGAAGGTGCTAACTCCTCAATTTGAGCATCCACAAATGGCCAGTACACATAACTCCTCGCTAGAGTCTTCATCCTGTTGGAGCCGGGATGTACAGTATTGAATTGGTGTAGGACTTTGAATTAAAGTCCGGTTGGCATGACGAAACATTCACCAAACAAAATACGGTCTTCGATGACCGGTAGGACATTTCTTCTCTAGAACGATTGCTGTAGCTGTACGTCTGAAATTTTCCGTTGCCACTGTAAGTGGTAAAACGTGCTCATCTGTGACAGCAACCGGTCCCGCGAAATTTCCTATCGAATCTGACTGAGAGATATTGGAACCTGGCTCACGGTATCCGAGAGTACACGATTAACTTCCGTTTCGATTGAGATATTTGCAACGACAGTGTCTTCTGATTGGTGCTGTTCGTCCAATAATCGCGACAGCGCATCCGCCTGACAAATATCGCTCGTCGCTCGGTACTTGATGTTGAACTCATACCACAGCAAAGTTGTTGCCCGCCTCTGCAGACGATTGGCCGTATATACCGGAATGTCCTTCCTCTAGTCCATTATAGCAAGAAACGGTTTGTGATCCGTTAGTAAGCCAAAATGACGGCCATATAACATTTTGTGGAGATGTTTCACTGCAAATGCAATAGCGAGAGTCTTCTTTTCAATTTGGCTGTACTTTCTTTTTGCTGCACTCAGTGAATGAGCGGCATGAGCGACTGGCTTCTCATACCCGTCTGTGAAACTGTGTGAAATGACCGGATGTTTCCAATGCCACTACAATTGGCAGCTTTGAATCGTAGTGTGTTACCATCAGTTCTGAGCTTAGTGACGGCTTGCTTCTGTCGAAGGCTTCCTGACATTCCGTAGTCTAGACACACGAAACGTCCTTCATCAGCAACCGGTTTAATGGTTCGCGTAGGTCATGCAGAGACGGCAGGTAGGTACTCACACTTGTCCCTTTTTAGGCAAAAACCATACTCCTTTATCCTGTCAAGCACGAGTTCTGTTCATTGGTGTAGTTCTTCATCCTTAGACCCCATGATGATGACATCGTCCAGGTATGCAGCGGTATATGTTATTCCCTGTAGCATCGTATCCATGATCTGCTGAAAGATTGCCGGGACCGACTTAACGTCAAATGGTAGGCGTGTATGCTGAAATAGTCCTCTGTGCGTGTTAATCGCTAGCAACTCACGCGATCCCCCCTACATTTCAATCTGGAGTTATTCGTCGGACAAGTTCAGTTTGGCAAAACACTTGCCACCGTTCAGACTTGCGAGAAGGTCTTCAAGGAAGGGTAGAGGGTACTTAGGGTCTTCCAACACAGCATTCAGGCCAGTAGACTAACTTGCACATAAGCGGCTCTTTCCGCTTGGTTTCTTGACAATCACAATGTGGGATGCCCGTGAAGAGTAATTGCTCGGTTTGATAACTCCGGTTGGTTGTAGTCTGTCAAGTTCTTGGTCGACGATTGAAATCACTGCATATGAAACCGGTCTGTTCTATCGGAAGACTGGCTTTGCGTCTGGCCATATAGATATACTGGCCTTGGTTTTCGTGCACCATCCCAGACCATCCCGAAACACCTGGGGATATTTCCTCTGTAAAGACTCTCATTTTGCAGATGCATCGCTTACTTTGTTGCACACGCAATTCAAGGGGACGTCAAGCAGTTTCATATTGTCAATCCACTCGGGGCCAAGTTCAGATCAGTATGTCTTTTTACGTAGCATACCCCTTTGCACTGACAATCTTTAAACATTACATGGCAGTAAATTTCACCGGCCAAGTCCAGCGGTCATCCTGAAGCATTGGTTGCAATCTGAGTTGTTCTTTGAACAGGTGGCTCACCGATTTTCTTCCAAGTTTCCTCGGATATGACAGTGATGTCTGAAGCAGTGTCAACTTGGAGGTCTACGAGCACCTGGTTCACAACCACTGTTACCTACCTTCTGCGTTTTGCGGCTCGTGTATCGAAGGTAGCAAAGACAAGATAAAGTTGAAATCTTTGTTTTGTCGAAGATGTGGGTACAAAGTTTTGGGAAGGTTTGTTGTAGACGTTCTTGTTGCAAATGGTTGCATGGCATTGACCCTTCTTGTGACCCCGTTTGTTATATTTCTGACGAAGATGCTTCTTGAACGCGCAGAATTTGACGAATTGCCATTCGCCACATTGCCAGTATGCGGATGGTGGTCTGTTTGAGTTCACTGAGTTTTGGACCGTCGCTTGACGCCCGCGCTGGTTTGCTACCACCAACGCATTCACAGGACATGGACTGTGGCCTTCGGCAATCACGTTCGTGTCATGCTTCAACTTGATTAACCTCTGGCACTACTACTACTACTGCTACTACATTTCCACCATTTAATTAAAACACTGCGTCCGGTTTTACGGAGCTTGCATTTATATTTTTATTATTACGCAGTTCATTTTAATAAGCACTTTACTCCTACCTGCGTGTGTACTTGTCGAAACATTCTCTCGATGACTGTATTGCTTTATACCTTTCATTTATTTTTTCTACCGGTCAGCTGTTTATACACTCTTTATAGGTTCAAGTATCCAGTTCGTTTTAGCGCTTATCGTCGTCTTCGGCCACTAATCATTGGTTTCGCTTCGTTCGCATTCCATTTGCTCTTAGTTCCTGTTTTACCGTTTTTGCATCTATCCTTTACATCAACTTGGACGTTTTCGATTTCTTTTCCCTTATGCACTTCTAGCTCAAACTCTAATGCCCTGTGCGGTGCCTCCGCTCCACTACGCGTCGAACGTTACTACCAACCATGTATCGGAAACAAGTCGTCTATCTGGACTTCGGCTCATTCGTTTGGTGCTGATGATGAAGAATTGGCAATTAACAAACAAACCTTTGCTCGGCGGGAGAAATCCCGCATTGCTGCCAAACTTCGTCGTCTTAAAGAAAACCAAACCTTAATGAGACTTCGGCTAATCCTTCCTATCCAGTCATACAAAAACGATGAGTCGGTGACACACAAGTTGGACAATTGCATCCATTATTCGGATTCAGACGGTGCCACCACCCCTTACGATTCGGTTGTCCGGTGCGACTCACCTTCACTCTGCACACTACCGGTTTTGAAGCAACCGCTACTGGCACCAGAATTTGAGAAGGCAGTGACGATCCGTTTGGCCAGCTGCGCATTGTGTTTGTACAATTGGCTATACTCTCAAGAGCTCTTGGGTAAGCTCTGTTCCATCGAACTTTCGATGAATATCTGGCCACCTTCCCACTTTACAAATATATCAAAGATAACGTTCATGTGGATCGGTTTAACTTCAAATTTTGAGCATTTTTATGGTACTTGTAGGTGAATATTTTTCAAAACCTATCTTTTCGCTGCCCCATTGGTTTACTCCTTAACGCTTTTACTCAATTGAGCTTATTCAGCAGCGATGGAACTTGTTTCTGCGTCTCAGTCGTACGATCATAATGGTCACCTTAATGTGAGGTAATCATAGGTTGAAACCGAAATGAAATCGCTATACTATTGGCAGACATTCCGGATGAAGGCGCCTAAGCCTTGCTGACAGTAAGCGATCACCCAGAGCTACTTACGTAGCTAGGATAAGGTGACATCAGTGCACTAGCTTTTTCCCTATTTTCTTTATTTCACGTTATAATCAACCTTACCTCACAGATAACTTAGCGTCCCTTAATCTGGAGAAATATCATCCGGATAGGAGTATACACCAACTGCACCAATGATGCCAGCTGCAGATCGCTGACCGAAAGGGTTGCACGCTTGCTTTCTACTCCTGACATCGCCGCCGCGTAGCGGCGTGCGACCTCCCGCGACTGATGGTGACCGCGTAGGAGCGAAGTGTCAATACATCATCATCATGATCAACCGCAGTACATCAGCCAATTGAAATGACACTTCGCTGCCGTACAACTACACCGGCCGAAGAATAACAGGAGGGATAGAAGAGGGACTTACCGGAAAACCTTAATTTCCCAAGCAAACATTCAGGGTTAAGACGCCTGCACCTTATGTTAACAACATACCGTCACAAATAACTGGGTATCGTTTAAAAAGAAGGCAATATCAACGAAACAGTTTCCTTATGGCTTTTACTGCCCTGCGTCATAATCAGCCATTAACCCGTAACGAAATTAGAACCCAACACAATTTAAACAGACAGTTCGACTAGGACATGGCAGCAGGCACGCCGTTGGTCTCGACTGTTAGCCGTCCTGTAAAGTTTTGAGCCAATCACATGGCGAGTCATGTGGACTTAAGTCTGGAAGGTGAGACGGACCTACGACACCGCGTTTGGTCGTCAGTGACTCTTTTTCCCACTGACAAGTCAACTTTTGTCCACGTCGAGCGTTGCATCACTACTCTACATTTGGAAGACAAAACAAGACCCTCTCCGGTAATCGGGGACCAAGCATACGCCAAACCAACGCAGCTTATTCACATCCATCTGTTGTTCTAAGGAACTAGCTTGGTTATCACTGTCTAGCGCACGTCTACGCATATCATCGTTGCAGACACTTTGGTGCCATCCGACGCCAGCAATGTTGCGCAGATACTGATGATCGAAGACTGGAAGGCACCTCAGGTCCTCAGATCGAAGGGGCTAGGTCTCACTTCTGTAAAGTAGGGCGTCCCTCACTGTGGACTTGTAAACACGGACTTTCAGACGTAGGGAAACTCCCTTTTGTCGCCAAAGATGTCGCAGATTCAAGAAGGAAGTTCTGGCTTTTGCAATACGTTAACTGATTCCAGCGGTTATACGCCCATCGTTGCTGATGCAGCTGCCAAGGGAAGTGAATTAATCAACTACCTCAGCTTCCTCGCAATTGAGTCAAGGGTCCATCAAGGGACTGGTGGTCCCGCAACAACACCTCTTTGAAGGTGCGAAGCGCATACGGTTTTAGAGTGCTTATTCAGGGTTGATTTGGCCTCCCCATCGCTAAGCAGCAAGACAATATCGCCCATATAAACATGATCAACTAGCCTTTCACCGGGCAACACCACAACGCCTGCGTCATAAGATTCCGTATGGGAACATTCCATGATGGAGTACACGACGAAATTGAACAAATATGGGTAAATTGGGCAACCCTGACAGACGCCACTTATTATCGGGAAGATATCCGA